ATGAGTCGCTCGACGCCTTGGCCGGTGCGCGATTCTTTTCCACTCTCGATTTGCTATCTGGATTCTGGCAGCTTCCTCTGGATGACGAATCGAAACCTAAGACTGCTTTTCGTACACCGCAAGGTCTCTTCCAATTTAACCGCTTGCCGATGGGTTTACATTCTGCGCCGGCAACTTTTCAGCGGTTAATGGAATTGGTCTTGGCAGGTTTGCAATGGGATTTGTGTTTGATTTACTTAGACGATGTCATCGTCTTTAGCAAATCCTTCGAGGAACACCTCCAGAGGTTGCGTGCTGTTTTTCTCAAAATGCGGGCTGCCAATTTGAAATTTAAACCACAGAAGTGCCATTTACTCCGCGAATCGGTGCGATATTTGGGTCACATTGTTGGGCGCTCGGGGATATCCACTGATCCCGCCAAAACGGAATGCATCAGCTCCTGGCCGACTCCCACCTCTGTGGGAGAGGTCAGGAGTTTCATTGGGTTCGCGTCGTATTATCGGCGATTTGTGGCTGACTTCGCTACGATTGCGAAACCATTGCATGCCTTGACGTCCAAGGGAGTCAGGTTTCATTGGGGGCCGGAGGAGGAGGCTGCTTTTCGCGCCCTCCGGAATGCTTTGGTGGGGGCTCCGCCGTTGAATTACCCGGATTTTTCACAACCCTTCTTGCTCGATACAGATGCAAGTAACACGGGCATCGGGGGCGTGCTGTCCCAGCTCATTGGGGGCGTAGAGCATGTGGTGGCTTACGGTAGTCGGGTACTGTCTCCAGCCGAACAGCGGTACTGCGTTACCCGTCGGGAATTATTGGCGATTGTTTATTTCATTCAGCAGTACCGTCCGTATCTGTACGGTCGGCGGTTCACCGTCCGTACAGATCATGCGGCCCTACAATACGCCCTGCGGGTTCAACAACCATCGGGCCAGTTGTCTCGATGGTTGGAGATTCTCCAAGACTATGACTTTGTCACCACATATCGTAAGGGTCTCCGCCACACGAACGCTGACGCCCTGTCGCGATTGCCACCCACTTCGGAGTGCGCGTGCCTCTTGGGTTCGGGGCGTTGTAGGCCTCCGAACGTCACCACCGATTCGGTCCTCGTGGCCGCTGCCGATGCGCCTTCGGTTTCGGGTCCTATCGAGCAAGAAGGGAGGGATTCGTTGCTGGGGTTGTCGGTCGCGGAATGGGGACGCCTCCAAATGGAGGACGCCTCCCTCCTCGCTCTGCGCCGTCGCGCCGGGGGGGTTGGCCAGGGGGTGGAAAACGTTGACTCGTGGGGGTTGTTCCAGGGTCTTTTAATGCACTGGGATGGAAAAACCCGGCGCCAGCGGCTCGTGGTGCCTGCTGCTTTAAGGGGTAAGGTGGTATGGGCTGTTCATGAGCGGCTTCTGCACTTGGGGGTTCACAAGACCTTTGCCACGCTCCAGCTAGATTTCTTCTGGCCGGGCATGGAAAAGGACGTGGGGGATCTCTTGGGGTCATGCACGCAATGCGCGCAGAGGAAGCCACCTGCTAGGGGGTCCAACCCTCCGCTGCAGTCCATAAAGGTTTCCCGGGTTAACGAGCTCGTCGCTCTGGACATACTTGGCCCATTTCCCGCTACGCCCAGGGGCAATAGGTATTTACTAACGGGGGTTGAATACTTCACGAGATGGCCTATGGCCTGGCCCCTGGCGAACCAGTCGGCAGCAGCCATCGCGGAGGCCTTTGTCCAGGGCTATGTCCTCGACAAGGGTGCTCCGGAACGGCTGCTTACTGACCAGGGTAGGAATTTTTCTGGTAAACTCCTACGTGAGGTGTGCGACCTCTTGGGTACGGAGAAGATTCGGACCTCTCCGTATCACCCACAAACTGACGGGATGGTGGAACGGCTGCATCGGACCATCACGTCCATGCTGTCCCAGCAGGTGTCGGTATCCCAGACGGATTGGGACCTCCGTATAGCCGGTGTGTTGCAGGCCTACAGAATGGCTCCCCATGCGGCCACCGGATTTTCCCCTTTCTTTTTAATGTATGGGCGCGAAGTTAACCCCCCTGTGGCGACCCAGCTGAAGCTCTCGGCGCCCCAGGCGAAGTCTAACTTGTCCGAACACGTTAAATTTAACATCGCTCAATTGTCTGAGGCGCGGGAAGCGGCCGTGCAAAATTCTGAACTCCGCCAGAAGGCGAACGAGAGGCTTCGGTTGGGGCGGGTGCAGGTGGTCAAATGGGAACCAGGGGACAGGGCGTGGTTGCACTGTCCTCAGGTGCCGCTGGCAACCTCGTCGAAATTGGTACGGCCGTGGCGGGGGCCAGTGGAGGTCGTGCAGGTTTTGCGGCCGCAATGTGTTCGCGTCAAATGGGGGAGGCGCCGGTGGTATGTGCACCCCTCAAGGTTAAAACCATTCGTCGCGCCGCCCCGTGGTTCACACACACACACGCATGGCCAAACGTGTGAGGGTGTCGCCGACTCCCCGTCGTCGCTGCACTCGCCTAACCTGACGCCAACTGTTCCGTCCCCAGGTGAAACAGGAGTGACGGGCCCACGCCCACCAACCCCTCCCGGAGGGGTCGGGGGTCACTCGGCAGCGACGCCTGACTCTCTTGCACCCGGACCGTCAACAACCGTCACTGAGCGTGCCAGGACGGGCCCTTGTGACGGGCCCGCCGCGAGAATGCGCGCCAAAACGCGCAGACTTTTGTGAGGTCGGCCGTTGGGGGGCCTTGCGGACAATGGGAGGGGTGGCGTCCGGAGTGTATATATATGTTGGTTTTGGGGTGTTTATTCGGGGAGGGTGCGTCGGGTTATTTTTTTTCTCTCTCTCTTCCTCTTGTTGTTCTTGTTAAAGTTCTCTTGTTCTTGTTAAAAATAATTTACGCGAGGCACACACACGGGGGTTCGTGAGGGATACACCTTTATTCTGATTTTTTTTGCAGCCAGGGACGGCTGCGAGCTGTACAGGGGGGGGTGATGTAGAGGTGTAATTGCGCATGGCTACGAATGTTGTCGTGTGATTATGCATGGCCACGGATGGCCAACAAACACAAGGGGCGGGGTTACGGCCGTACACAAGGGGGGCGCTCGCACCGACGTCCGCATGTGCATCCCCCACGGGCCCCCCCTCGGGGGCGAGTCCTATAAAAGGTGATGAGCCAAAGGGCTCAGGAGTCGGGACTCAGCTTTAACCAGAGAAGAAGGAAGACCTGCTAGTATAGGCCCCGGAGCTCCCCTGGCTCGCTGTCCTTCTAAGGGCCGACCAGGGCAAGCCGGTGGCGTGGCCCCGAGAGCCCAGACGAAGCTGGTCTGGTGACTCAGGGAGCCGGGATCCCAGCTTAACCAAGCTGGGACAGATAGCCTCCCCTAGTCCCGTAGTGGAGGAGTTGGTATAGGTTAGAGGGGTTAGCTGTCGAGAAGTCCCTGTAGCCAAGTGACCTGTAATAACTGTGTTGGTGTAATAAATAAGTGTGCCTCCGATCCTGTCGTCAAAGCCTCCATATATACTTACTACACTAGTACAGCACACCGGTGTGTTGGAGACCCAAGCCACAACATTTACAATCTGAGTACGAAGTTTCGCCAGTAATTACAACTAGCTTCATCCGGTGACAGCGACAGCCTGATGAAGTTAGTTGTAATTATTGGCGAAACGTCGTACTCAGGTTTGTAATTTTGTGGGTTGGCTCTCCAACACACCGGCGTGATGTACAAGTGACGAATTGGCATGTTCTGTTTACGTGACACACCTTACTAGTTGGCTGTGTCGGATGGTGGTGGGTTTAACGACACATATTTACGCGACCTAACCCAAAATAACCTCTTATGGATGACATTGGTCGCGAAAGCCTATGTGTTAAACCCATGATCTGAAGTTTAGCTTTTGTCCAGGAAATATGAAGGTCCATAGTAATATTTGCTTGGTCAAATCTTGTCAGTGCCACGGGCTGTGATGCTGGGTGTTCTGTAAAAAGGAACTGCATCATTAACATAGTTGAGATCAGTAAAGAGTCGGTCCCCAACAACCAATAATCAATCATTCATACTTTTTGTACCTAATAGAGCGTTCAACTACTGAGTAAAGGTTTTGGTAAGCCCCTTCTTATTCTCAGGTACAGAATACTGTGAGATTGGGCCTGCCACTTTATTACCTAACTGTAACTCCTCCTCCATCAGCCAGTTTCTTGGGCAGTCTTCTTCACTAATTTTCAGAGGGGGGCCACTTTCGCCGATAAGACATCATCAGTGTGAGGGCCGTCACATATTTTAAACGATTGGGTTTGACAGCACGATGGTGGGAGTTGTTTTCAAAATTGTGTATTGTCGGGGCCGCACGTCAGGGGCCCCACTAAAGGCCACCAGGGGCCACTCGTGGCCCGCTGGCCTTCCAATGAAGAACACTGATACAGGGCGATCTGGACTGGCTATCCAGCACAGTCGTAGCACCTGCACGTGTCAGAGTCCCGAACCTCACCCATCTCCCCTCGGCATCAGGAGAGGGGAATTATGTCATTCCTAAATGTAAACAATGCTCGTATTCTCGATATCAATGTTAACTGGACAGAGCCCAAATTATTATGGGTTTGATGGTCAAGAGTAGGTATTAACAATTAGTCGTTTTTTTTCAATTCTTATGTTTAAAATTTATTTTTCAAGTCGAATGTTTGTATGATTATTAAAGTATTACATTATTTTATTAGTTTTTCCTTCAGGGTAATACAACGAAATGTCACTGAAAAATGTAGGCATACAGTACAGACACGACAGTCAGTACAAGCAAGGCAGTACACATACAAAAGACAGTACAAACGATACATTGTGCGAAGCAGACAGTATATTAGACAGTAGAGACGAGGCTTAACAGGCAAGACAAAAATATATTGAATTGATATTGAATCACAATAATACGTAGAATCGCAGGGGATTTGGAGTAGAGTGAATCGTTACCTGTATTATTGAGGAGTCATTGTCGCATACACGTAGCTGTGTCCTGACTTTTGTTCTACTTTAATTTCATGTTAAGGTTGAGCATAATGAATGTGAAGATAAAGGACAATACAGATCAGTGAAGGGGTTTTGCTGCTACCTCTGTCCTGCAGGTAACCAAGCAAAGCAGTAACACATTGTGACTAACAATGCATCCACTGCGCTATGTGGTCATACGTTAGTTTATAGAGTGTGTGTTTTTCATGTAGACAATATAAGCGATTGATGATTGTATTGGTAAAGAATACCACGTTAAATTACGGCAATGCTTGCAACAGAGCATAAATATAGCTGGGAAGGCCAAAGTTGATCACCATCACCAATGGGCGAGGTTATATTGAATCAGCTGTTCAGTACTCCGCTGTGTGTTAATGCCCATAGAGAGTATTTGGCTGCTATAAATGTCCGTAGGATAAACTATCATTTGTGGCCAGGTCGCTTCTGAAAAATAGCTTAGTGGGCCATACCTAGTAAAAAGCAATACAAATCTGACATGCCTTTTTTCTTTGCTCAAATTAAATACCCTGTGACATTTATTACAGCAGACCATAGTGTCACATTAAAAGGCAGAAATAAATGTTTTGGAATTAATATGATTTGTATTAACATCAATTAGAAATTTCGATTTAAAGCTTTCGTGACTGCAGGGATTCATCTTCTTGGTTCTTTCGGTAAAGTCACGTAGAAGGGAAGTAATAAAATAATAAAAATAAAACATAATAAAACAATTCTCACGACGTTTCGGCCACAACGCAAGCAGCCGTCCTCAGGTGAAAACCAGGTCCGTCGAGGCGACAGAGTCTGAATAAAACAGCACACGAGCTTGGAGCATATATATAAGCTGGGCGCATTGACAAAGGAATTTGCATATCAAAAGGAATTTAGCATATTTATGGGAAATGCAGGAATGTGATTAGTACTGCATATGCATGTGCATTATGCAGGATTAACAGCATCAAAGGGAGCTGCAGTTACTGCTGCTGCAGCAGTTGCTGCTGCTGCTGCAGTTTCTGCTGCTGCTGCAGTTGCTACTGCTGCTGCTGCTGCACTTGCTGCTGCTGCTGCACTTGCTGCTGCTGCTGCACTTGCTGCTGCTGCTGCACTTGCTGCTGCTGCTGCAGTTGCTGCCTTATCCATTTTAATATAACACTATGTATTATTCTACCCACCCTAATGTGTATCATACTGCTATATGTTTACTGTACAATTACGACACCATACATTACTCTGCACACTGCACCATGCCAGTGAGTGGAACGCGGTCTGAAAATCACCGTAAACGTGAACACAATCAGTTAAGATCCGAAATGGTTTATTACGTCCTTCCAATGATTGCTAAGCCAGAATCCATCTTCTCGGTTGAAATTGTCTCTGTGTTTGTATATGTGGATCGCCTCATGAACGAATCTCTCATGATAGCCAGATGGCTTGCAGAGAACCTCTGTCTTGGAGAAGTCAATGTCATGTGAGCCCACTGAATTGTAACAGTGATCTGCCACGGCTGAGGTGTTTGTCCTACCGTGTTTCAGGTCTGCCTTATGTTCACGGATGCGGTCCGAGACATGTCGTTTGGTTTCTCCAATGTAACTGCTACCACAGAGGCAACTTAGTTTGTAGACGCCAGGGTACTGTATGTCTGGAACCACATCTTTTACAGACGGGACCAGATCACGGATTTATGTACTGTGTTGAATCGGACCTGGATCTTGTGTTTAATCAGGATTTTGGAGATCTTTTTTGTGACCCCAGCAATGTAGGGTAAGGTGATGGTCTTGAAAGGCTCCTCAACAGGATCCTTCTTGATGGTTGGAGTGATGGCTTTGCGGATTGTGTAGTCGGAGTAACCATTAGCCTTAAGAGCTTGGCGTACGTGTTTGAGTTCACTGGAAATGTGTTCATGGTCGGAGATGCATTGGGCTCTATGATATAGAGTCTTGATGAGGGAATTCTTCTGGGATGGATGGTGGTGGGAATCCGGTTTTAGATAAGCATCCGTGTGGGTGGCTTTCCTGTAGACAGAGTGGCTCATTGAACCATCAGGTCTCCTTTTGATTAGGACATCCAAAAAGGGTAGCTTGCCATCATTTTCGACTTCCATGGTGAATCTGATGGCTGGGTGTATGGAATTGATGTGGTCGAGAAATTGGTCTAGAGCAGGCCGGCCATGTGGCCAGATTGCCTTTGTCGGCTGAGAGGATGACATTGTCATCCTCTCAGCCGACAAAGGCAATGCCACTGTCATCATGGACAAAATAGAATACAACAACAAAATTCAAGAACTACTCAACGATGGCAGCTATACAAAAATAAAAAGAGACCCCACCAACAGCCTCGTCTCCAAAACCAACAACATCATTTCTGCTTCAACCGCATTAATTGATCAGACCAAACAGTTCTCGTTGAAACCTTCTGCAGCCAGGCCACCAAGATTGTACGGCTTGCCAAAGATACATAAAGAAGATACACCTCTTCGTCCCATTGTCTCTACTATCAACTCCCCCACTTACAAACTGGCTCGTTTTTTGTCCGAAATCCTACGGCCTTTCACTGGAAAAACCACCTCTGCAGTACTAAACTCTACTGACCTGGTATCGACAATCAAGGGGATTGCCCTGTCCCCAGACGACCTGCTTGTCAGTTTTGATGTGGTTTCCTTGTTCACCAAGGTGCCTGTGCCTGACACCATCGCAATCATTGAAGACTTGGTTCATCAAGGACTGAATGCTGGGGTACCCCCCCTGGTGAGACACTGCTTAACCAATACATACTTCACCTGGAATGGAACCTTCTACAAGCAAATTGAGGGCACCCCAATGGGCTCCCCCCTATCTCCGGTTGTAGCCAACATCTTCATGGAGAAATTTGAGACGGACGCCATCCAGACTGCCACTCTACGCCCGACCTTATGGAAGAGGTACGTAGACGACACTTTTGTCATCTGGCCACATGGCCGGCCTGCTCTAGACCAATTTCTCGACCACATCAATTCCATACACCCAGCCATCAGATTCACCATGGAAGTCGAAAATGATGGCAAGCTACCCTTTTTGGATGTCCTAATCAAAAGGAGACCTGATGGTTCAATGAGCCACTCTGTCTACAGGAAAGCCACCCACACGGATGCTTATCTAAAACCGGATTCCCACCACCATCCATCCCAGAAGAATTCCCTCATCAAGACTCTATATCATAGAGCCCAATGCATCTCCGACCATGAACACATTTCCAGTGAACTCAAACACGTACGCCAAGCTCTTAAGGCTAATGGTTACTCCGACTACACAATCCGCAAAGCCATCACTCCAACCATCAAGAAGGATCCTGTTGAGGAGCCTTACAAGACCATCACCTTACCCTACATTGCTGGGGTCACAAAAAAGATCTCCAAAATCCTGATTAAACACAAGATCCAGGTCCGATTCAACACAGTACATAAAATCCGTGATCTGGTCCCGTCTGTAAAAGATGTGGTTCCAGACATACAGTACCCTGGCGTCTACAAACTAAGTTGCCTCTGTGGTAGCAGTTACATTGGAGAAACCAAACGACATGTCTCGGACCGCATCCGTGAACATAAGGCAGACCTGAAACACGGTAGGACAAACACCTCAGCCGTGGCAGATCACTGTTACAATTCAGTGGGCTCACATGACATTGACTTCTCCAAGACAGAGGTTCTCTGCAAGCCATCTGGCTATCATGAGAGATTCGTTCATGAGGCGATCCACATATACAAACACAGAGACAATTTCAACCGAGAAGATGGATTCTGGCTTAGCAATCATTGGAAGGACGTAATAAACCATTTCGGATCTTAACTGATTGTGTTCACGTTTACGGTGACTTTCAGACCGCGTTCCACTCACTGGCATGGTGCAGTGTGCAGAGTAATGTATGGTGTCGTAATTGTACAGTAAACATATAGCAGTATGATACACATTAGGGTGGGTAGAATAATACATAGTGTTATATTAAAATGGATAAGGCAGCAACTGCAGCAGCAGCAGCAAGTGCAGCAGCAGCAGCAAGTGCAGCAGCAGCAGCAAGTGCAGCAGCAGCAGCAGTAGCAACTGCAGCAGCAGCAGAAACTGCAGCAGCAGCAGCAACTGCTGCAGCAGCAGTAACTGCAGCTCCCTTTGATGCTGTTAATCCTGCATAATGCACATGCATATGCAGTACTAATCACATTCCTGCATTTCCCATAAATATGCTAAATTCCTTTTGATATGCAAATTCCTTTGTCAATGCGCCCAGCTTATATATATGCTCCAAGCTCGTGTGCTGTTTCATTCAGACTCTGTCGCCTCGACGGACCTGGTTTTCACCTGAGGACGGCTGCTTGCGTTGTGGCCGAAACGTCGTGAGAATTGTTTTATTATGTTTTATTTTTATTATTTTATTACTTCCCTTCTACGTGACTTTACCGAAAGAACCAAGAAGATCAATTAGAAATGCATATATATTGAATAACGTGTTTATAGTAAAACGTATTGAGATGTAATATTTAATCAAACACGTTCTTTTCGGACCCCATAATTACTTGAACTTGTCCATTTCATAGGAGAGAGGTGGGTTGATGACTGCATTTCCGATGGCGACCAATCTTTCTGCACATCTTGCATGCGAGGGAAGAGCTACATGGAAATTGCAAACCGTGATCCTCAATGCAAAAAGTGCAGCACCTGCAATATTATCTGTAAGAGTTCCACATCAGTAGGTTTTATGTGTGTAAATAGATGTCATCCGAGTGTGTAGATGCATCAAAGGTTAATAAATCAATCTATGTTAATTAAAACACAACTAAATCGATGAGAAAGTGCGTTGGATCACCTTGCAATTCGTTAGGAAGTGGATTGTGGTGGTAAAACATTGTATTAAGAATATAAATATCTGTGAAATCCGAGGTTGGTTGAAGCCATGTTGCTTGATAGGCTGCACCCAAGATTCCATCTGTGAATGGACCATAGATGACAAGGGTCGATTCATGAGAAAGGTGGGCTGAGCAAAAACAATCTGAAGTTATTTTATGGAGTCACAGCACTCCAAGTGGGACTCGCTTTACTCCACAATTGGCTGGGGTTGGAGTTTGAAGAAATGGGCAGACAGTGGGCTCTAATCCTGGAGCTGATCTTTTATCTCAACTTGAGCAGGGTGGTATCCATCTTGTTGCTACATATGACCATCATATCACCAAATTCATGAGAAAGGTCCTCCATCTTAAATAGTAAAAAACATATGTCTGTCAAGATATTAAGTTGCTCGAATGAAGAAGACTGATGATGGCACAGGCAGTTGGAGCTTGCACTCCACGGTTGCACGGCGGGCCAGAATGACGACAAGATGGCCTGTCGAGTTTTACACCAATTGTCTCCAGAAGTTGCAGCAATTGAAAAGGCAATACACAAAGTGTAAATGTATCATAAGTTGGTAATGTAGGATAGTCTAAGAACAGGAACATTCTTTAATAATACGAAATACTAAAATTAAACCATTAAAAAAAGGATTACCGCACACACAGGAATCTTGAGAGAGAAATCATATACACAGATGACATCAGTGAAAGCTCTATCACTTCCTATTTTAGAGTTAAGATTAATATGTCCTGATTATTCACAACTCACTTAAAATGTCCACAATTACACGGTCAATAGGGTCCATGGCAGCATCCACTAAGCCACTATCTCCATTAAAACCATGAAATGCTGGCAGATTACAGGCAATGTCACCCGGATAAATTATTTTTATAGTTATTTTTTCTTATACGCACATCGCCATTTGATGCAGATAAAGTCACCTCATCGCGACTATGTTATTATAATTGCGATTATTGTTTGAGTTGACCTGCGGTGAGGCATGCATTATCGAATGCCATACTACAGGTAAATGTGACCCACTGTGATTATAATGATCAAATAATAACTCCTCTCATCCATACATTAGATGCAGAATCTTTATTTCCACTGAAGGAATCCGATCAGCTTTGAAGCTCCTTTTCATAGATGTCTAGGAGGGGCGGATCAGCAAGTTACAACAACAAACATTCGTTTATCAATTACCCTGTTCTCCACAGCCATCAAAGATTATACAAGTTCCATCGTATTACCAAATTGTAATGTACACTATGCTAAAGTTATGGCTATGTGGGACATGTTGCCAAGACCAACAAGTTTTGTACATTAAACAAACAGTACAGTACTGGAATTAAACTAAGTTTCCTTTTGTTCTCTGATCTGAAGATGAAGATGTTCAACAGGACTGTACTGTCACTAGCGACACTGTGTGTCAGTGTAAGGATGGATACAGTCGGCCTCATCCTTCACAGCCTTGTGGAGTTACATCAAACACAGGTGAGAAATGTCGTATTCGTCTCTAACGCCTCTGATACCAAGATATTCAATTAGGAGCGATTGGCATCAGGAAATGCACAAACTTGCAAATGTTAAAGAATTGAAACATCTTGGACGTCATTGAAATCGTGTCAGTAGGGCTGTTTCGAGTATTTATCAAGGTACCAGGCAGTGCTCCGTACTTGCCCCATCATTATGAATGTATTAACTGACATGCCACAACATATCGGAGAAATGTATCCACACAGATTATGTTTCCCTTACTACACGTGTGAAGTCTAAAATAGGTTATTCCTTCACCAAGGACCTAACCGTGAATATTTCAGACATTGGTAACTCCATACAAGACCATTAGTACAGCATTCCATTGTAACAATTAGCTAGTAATTGCTGAACCAAATGTCTATTTGCAGCAAGGAAGTCTAGAATCAGCCATTCCTAAAATATTTAGGGGGTACTGTTGATCGAAACCAGATCTACCATTGAAGATTAATGAAAAAATGTAAACTTTATCCAGAAACTTACAGACACTAGTTGGAGAGCAGATGTGCTTACACTACACATTCATCTTATACCTGCTTTACATTTGCACATCCGAGTCATGCTGGGGCCATGCCATGGCAGCGTGGTGATTCTCAAGAGGCATGAGTTACTTTTCCACTACACAAGTTGACCCATGCCACTGTTGTCACATGCAATTCTGGATATCAAGACGACGGTTGATGACGCGGTTACACTGAGTTGTTCTGACTGATATCACCCTAGTTGTGAATCAGACATGCACATACAAGTATACTTTACACAACACTCTGCGCTCCTCTTTGGGCTGAGAGGTACCACACCAACGAACATCTTAAACATCACAATGAGGATCGTCACCAGCAAAATAAAGTTAACTATTTTACTCTGGCTCTCTGTGCTATAGAACATGTCTCTTATAGACGTCTGCAAACAGCAAATAAATGTCCATGAATACAGCTGCATTTCATCAATCCTAACCTGCCCATCTAAGAAGCTCAAGAAATATATTAAACTACTGCTTGAGATCGTGCAAGTCAAAGTTTTTATATGTGAGCTTCAGCACATCAGAGAAATGGCAAAAGATTTGTGTGAACACTAATATGATTAAGAATCATTGGATTGCTGATCCCACTAAAAATAGATTTAATCTACCTTAAAAACAATAGTTTACATTTATACTCTTAGGTTTTTTTCGGTAAAGTCACGTAGGTAAAAAATTATAAAATAAAATAATAGTAAATGAAAATACATCAATTAAATCACGACGTTTCGGAGACAAGTCTCCGTCTGCAGCTGGGACCGTCACAGCTAAATTTACTGTATCAAGTGAGGAGAAATGCAAGAGACAAGATCTTAAATACAAGTTAAGGGGAGGGGGGAGGGGCTTATCTAAATGTGGTCGTCAGAGACTGGAACGGTGGGGGGGGAGGGGCGGAACTAGAAGGGAGGGTACAATTGGAGAACCTCAACCGGGGTTACGGCCGATGTTAGCCAATATTTTCATGGAAAAGTTTTAATCAGATGCCATCCAGACGTCCACCCTGCGTCCTTCCCTGTGGAAGAGATATGTGGATGACACTTTCGTCATTTGGCCACATGGCCTCCCAGCATTGAACCATTTCCTGGACCACATCAATTCCAGACACCCATCCATCAGATTCACCATGGAAGTGGAGAAAGATGGCAAACTACCATTCTTGGATGTTTTGTTTGAGAGGAGACCTGATGGATCCTTGGGACAGTCTGTCTACAGGAAGGCCACCCACACAGATTCCTACTTGAAACCTGATTCCCACCACCACCCGGCTCAAAATAATTATCTCATCAAAACACTATACCACAGAGCTCATTGCATCTCTGAACAACACCACGTGTCCAGTGAATTAAAACATGTACATCTGGCCCTCAAGATGAACAGATACTTTGACCGCACTATCCGCCAAGCTGCTTCTCCCACCATACAGAAACAACCACCTGAAACTCCGATCAAAACTATCACGTTGCCATACATAGCAGACGTGACCAAAAAAGATCTCCAAAATTCTGAACAAACATAAGATCCAAGTCCGATTCAGTACAGTACATAAAATCCGTGATCTAATCCCATCTGTGAAAGATGTCATTCCTGACTTGCAATACCCTGGAGTCTATAAACTGAGTTGCATCTGTGGTGATTGTTACATTGGGGAAACGAAACGTCATGTCTCTGATCATGTCCGCGAGCACAAGTCAGATCTGAAACACGGCAAAATTGAGTCTTCCGCCATTGCCGATCATTGTTACAACGCTGTGGGCTCTCATGATATTGTCTTTTCCGAGACCAAGGTGCTCTGCAAACCTTCTGGCTACCATCAAAGGTTAGTCCACGAGGCCATCCAGATATACAAACACAGACATAACTTCAACCGTGATGATGGGTACAAATTGAGCAATCATTGGAAATATGTTATTAACCATGTAAAAAAGATTTAACTACGCATATTTGTACCATCTTTATTGACATCCCCAGCGATTAACAGTACTGCTATTTTGGATTTGGCAGCCAACATCGGCCGTAACCCCGGTTGAGGTTCTCCAATTGTACCCTCCCTTCTAGCCCCGCCCCCCCCGTTCCAGTCCCTGACGACCACATTTAGACCACATTTAGATAAGCCCCCTCCCTCCTCCCCTTAACTTGTATTTAAGATATTTTCTCTTGGATTTCTCCTCACTTGATACAGTAAATTTAGCTGTGATGGTCCCACCTGAAGACGGACACTTGTGTTGCTTCCGAAACGTCGTGATTTAATGAATTTATTTTTATTTATTTATATTTTATTATTTTTTACCTACGTGACTTTACCGAAAAAACCTAAGAGTATGAATCCTTGCAGTCACGAAAGCTTCAAATCTAGTTTACATTTAACCAGAAGAATGTAAATCATGGTGGATCAGCACGACTACTTTCACAAGTAGAAATTGAAGACCATGGCATGCAATTGCAGAAACGTAGATCCATTGACCTCCTAAAATTCAAAACATGCTTTAAAGAAACCCACAAACCCATCAACTGAAGGCTTTTCATGCATAATTAATTTAGACGTAGATTTGTAAGTTGATATTCATTCAGACAGAGGAAAGAGATAGAATCGGAGGACAATTCTTCAGAATGACAACAGGTGGGAAAAATGGTACATCAACCTCGACAAAGATGTCAAGACATTATTTATATTATAACACGCGACTATCTTTTGCGATCAGAATTTCTGAATATTTACTCAAAGACAGCAATGTAGTAAAGCCCTTTGTCAAACGGGTGTTAGATATAGACCCGACCATGCCGTTTCAGTTGTGTGTATTGTTTGACTGTACGTCTCTACGCTGGTTCGTGTGAGTTGGTGAAGAGGGGAGGATCTGGGCAGGACCAGTTCAGATGCCAGTGATGCTAGCCGTGGCTGGTAACAAACTCACATTGCCAAGGTCATGGGACATTGCGCAAACCACTGCACCACCTTTGCACCCCCATTCCTACGTCAATCTACTGTGCTTCAAGTATGAAACTGGTTAATTTTCTTACAAAGTGGTAATGCGATGTTTATGTCATAACAATGAGCCAGCATAGCCGAGATTATGGATTGAATACCCCAAGCGCAAATGGTTGCAGGTGGATGGTTTGGAGGTGATACTAATTCCAACTTGCATTTTGCAGTTCATACAATTCATGCAGTTTCTAAAAACAGCTCAGCGCGAGTAAAACATTCCGAATATTATGGCGACATAGATATGAATTCAATTACTTGACCGTACCATCTGAAAAATCAAATACAGTGTTTTTCACACTGCAAGGCACCACTCTGAAGATCCCATTGGAGTTAAAATCAGGTTATTCTGTGTTTTTGCACAATTGTAAAAATATATGTTAGTATTTGTTTGTGGATTGTATGAAATCATCAAACGAAACCATAATTTTCTTGTACAGTACAAATGTTTGTCAATCCACAGCTGGATGAGGTCCTGTAAAAATTTCTACGACACATTCGACCACTAGTGAGTTGTGACAGCCAACACGGTGGCGTGTAGCATAGTATTGACAAGGCTCGATTATTGTAACTCACTACCCTACGAGACGTCTCGCAAAAACATTACCAAGCTGCATCGTATACACAATTATTTGTCACGTGTCGTGACGGGTACTGCAAGATCCGACCTTGTTCGTCCAGTGCTCGCCAAGCTGCATTCGATTCTGGTTACCGAACGAATAGATTATAAGGTCGCACTCATTACACACAAAGTGCTTGCCACAAATGAACCACAATATCTTGCTGATCTCGTCAAGGAGCATAAACCATCACACAAACCCCGGTCATCCTCACAGTGGCTTTTAGCGAGCCATCGAACAAAAACGGTCACTTCATCACGGGCTTTCAGATGTGCTTGTGCGGCTGTTTGGAATGCTCTTCCTTTCGATATTAGAAGACCACTGGACCTATGCACGTTAAAATGAGATTGAAAACGAATTTCTTTAGAACTGATTTTTGTGCTAAGTTTATTGTCCTTCCCACGCAACTCTTATTAGCACGGTTGGCTATGTACAGTGCGAAAAAAGTTCAACATACATTTATACATATGGATCGTGAGTGTTATTTTGCTAAATTGTACTACTTTAGTGAGCGGGGGTTGCTGAAGAGGGGTTGCATAGATTCACAGGACAACAACGAATCTTGCTACATTGTCCCCTGTTGCCCACCACAGCATGTTAAAAATCAAATATATATACTTTGATCCATCAGGCGTCGTGCATATTTACTTTATGAAGCAGATTCCTACATCAAAGCACATTTAGTGCGACACTGACCAGTTGGAACAATGTTTGTAGATAGCTCTCGTCTACAACATCTGGCTGTCTGGCATTTGTTTAACTGACGACACTGCTGATGAGATTCTGAAAGTATAAACCACCCCCAAGTTTTCTGCTTAAACACATGTTATGAGACAACATTACTCTCAAATGTAAATTGGTTGATACACTGGCGTAAAAGCATCGGCACTGGTGTCGATGTAACATTATTTTAGATGGTGATTTACAAGTCTTGCCATTTAAGTGTATATGTCAAAAAATATGCATGCTAAATGTTTGATGTTATCTGCCATTTTCTACCTGCAGAAAAAAACATTATAATTCCTACTGGAATTGTGATCTTCATTGTTCTGGTGGCAGTGGTGGCCTTATTGATTTATCGGAAGAAGAAATGCTTAGACCCCTCTGGTAAGAAACAGAGCAATTTATGAAATATGCATTGTTTAGTAAAGAGACCAATGTTTCCGATTAATCCATGAGTGGCCCAACTGTAATTCATTCGATAACAAATCATGGCTGTAGATTAATTGGAAGACTTCCCAGTACACATCATGAAAACTTGAAGGAAAATTGCAATGTCCAAGATAAGGCTGTGCAGTAATTCTGCTTATTACAATGTTATTGAGCAGCATTTGAATAATGCAAAATCTTGACTTAAGTTTCTAGTCAACAATTATTAATGTGATGAATCTCCAAATAAACACAACTACGTTTATTTATAATAACTAGGGGGAAGTACCCGGCATTGCCCGGGTCTTAAAAATATTTCAAAACTACTCTTAAAAATCTAACAGCAGTGCATACTGACTGCGGTGGTACCTGCTATGCTTGCAACAGTGCATACTGTGGTGGTACCTGCTATGATTACAGCAGTGCATACTGTGGTGGTACTTTTGCACTGCAGCAGTACATACTGTGTTGGTACCTGCTATGATTACAGCAGTGCATACTGACTGTGGTGGTATCTGCTATGATTACAGCAGTGCATACCTACTGTGGTGGTACCTGCTATCACTACAGTAGTACATGCTGACTCTATAGCAGTATTTATCGACTGTATAGCACAAAGCACTCACCTGATAGAGTGTGGTGAGGCCTAGTCCCGTGCAGAGCCTCCGGCCTCGCCTAGATTGCCGAGGTGGCACCTTGGCAGGCTGGGGCTGGGCTGGTACTCCTGCCCCCCCCCCCCCAGCCACGATCTCCCCGGCCGGTCTGCAGTAATATCTATGGCCTATAGTGGTAGCATCTAGCGACTGTATATAGTAGTAATAACTGAACGCATCGGGGTGGGGGGGACATCACACAGTGAATAATTAACGTCAGCGTTTAGTGTATTTTTATAGCATTTTTAATGCGAAAGAAAATGTCCCCTTCCTTCCCACCGAAGGCGTGTGACTTGGCATGGGCCGTTCCCCCCACCAAAGGCGCGTGAGTTGGTATGGTCGTGCACGCGTAATAAATAAATAAATAACAGGGAAGCGCACAAAAATCGCCCTAAATCGCTAATTAAACTAATTTAAAGTTGACGGATGTGAAAAAGGAATAGCGCTTGCTCACGGTGGGGCTTATGGCGTGGTATCTGGCTATTTTCTTTTTTTAACCTAAACCCCACCGTTGGAGAGCCAATTGCGCGACCACACACAAACCCACACACAAACCCACAAACAAACCCCGCCACAAACCCACACACAATTGTTTACTTTTATATATATAGATTGTATTGTGTTGATTTGTTTCAATATTTTCCTTGTTCATGCTTCACACTACTCATCAAAGTAACTGATGTCAACAAAATGTCACCAGACATCCTCCTAAATATTTAAAAGACACAAAAACATCGCACAACTACATGCTTTATGGCCACGCCAAACTTACCAATTCAAGAGGATCTTCAGAACCTCATAAAGTCTCGATTAAAATCATGCAACCCACTTTGAGATCGAATATAAGCTCTCAAAGTGCCCTCATTCAACCTTGCGTCCCGGGAGAGAGTCACCTGCAACAATGTCAAAGTCCCTAACAAGTCCACAGAAATAACTTACAATTACAATTTGCCTTGCAAATTTGTTTGTATTTAACTAAATCAGAACATCGAATGGCAGATGTGGCTATATTCTGCAATTACAATTTAAGAATAGCACACAGTGTGATTGCAGAAACAAATCTCAAACCTTGGAACAAAGAGTCTGGCACTACCCAATTTTATAATGCCCTGGTAGAATTTCAGATAATCATCAGGCTACTTTTGCAGTCGTTCACTGGTTCAGCAACCTCGACGTAAATGTTGCTGATCAGCTTCTACCCAAAGAAAGAAAATGTGTTACTCTACAATGTAATGTACATTGATAATGTCATCCATACATCTGCTACACATTTAGGACCAGAATTCCATCTCCATGAAACATTTGACACATTACCTTGGAGATTTTCCACATTACTAACGTTTAAACACAAAATCTAACTAAAATAAATATTAGTCAAGATATCAGACACAGTATGTTTTAGTCACAAAATTTGGTTGCTTAAAAGAACTTGCATCATACACAATAGGTTAATTCATATATAAATAAGTAATTGCTGTACAATTGTTTCAGTGGACATCTAATAACTGATAACACCATCATATAATCCCACACCTGTACTGCTACTATGATCACATGCTTTGCAATAATTTTATCATGTTTGTAGTATACTGACAAAGAGAGCAGGTTCACTTGAAGACACACTCCCATTATAGTAATAGCCATTACAGTACAGCACAAAGCATCATTAGCAATGCTTCTAGTAGATGCTACTGAGTGGACATGAGTCATGCTGTCTTCTTGTACAGAAACAAGTGAGGCTTTGCTTCTTCTAAGTGTGGAAGTGCAAAATGATGTCCTTGAGGTAAGTTAAGCAGCATCTGTTGGGGCCTGGCTGCCATAACATTGCATCACAGGAACGTATGTACTTTTGTGGAACTTACCACTGTCTAATTGTGATGTATAGACTATCCCAGAACTATCTTACCGCTACTTTTGGTGTGGTGGTATGGTCTTGTGGGTTGTGGTTTGTGGTGGTTGGGTTAGGTGTTAGTATGGTTAGCCAAAGCTGGCCGTTGTATTTCCCATCAGAAATCTCAGTAGTCTGTATGTTACCCTATTGTACTTGTGGGGGTCACTGTTGATTGTCCCTCTGCCATGGATTTTTATTCAATTCTATTCATCTCTTCTTTTTACTCTCTCGTTGCTCTTTTTTCACTGTTCAGCACTCCACTGTATGATAATTGTTTTTTTACCCTTTTATCTGGCAACAAAACTGACACCTTTTTTTTTACAAGGAGTCATGTTTGCATAGACCACAATACCTGCAGTCGTAATGCAAACAAAAAACACAACTCTGATAATGTATGCACTGTCCTTGAAGATGATTGGTCCACACCCGAGACAGCTTTCCTTAGAGGCTAGTGTCACATGGTGTTGGACCGGATGACGCCAAAAGGCGCACAACTCAAAGACAATGCACCATCAGAGTATGAGAGCTCGGGGTGTCAGTTTTGTTGCCAGATAAAAGGGTAAAAAACCAATGATCATATTTTTCTACTGGCAAATGAGGTGTCAATGGTGTAAATGCTTACCCCGAGCTCTCATACTCTGATGGTGCATTGTCTTTGAGTTGTGCGCCTTTTGGTGTCATCTAGTCTTTTTAACAACTTTTGTTTGCGTTATCCGATTCATATTGTAATAAATCCAATAACTGGCAGAGTACTATCTAACAAAAATTATCTACTATGAGACCTCCTTTACCAGTGGCAATATATAGTAATAGGGTTTTACCCTTTCCACAACACAAGCAGTCAAAATGCAAACAAAAAGAAAACTCTGATGATGATAATGATATGCACTGTCATTATCAACTGTCATTATCAACTGATAGTGCGCTGTCTTTGCACACAATCAACTTCAAGGACAGTGCATATCATTATCATCATCAGAGTTGTTTTCTTTTTGTTTGCATTTTGACTGCTTGTGTTGTGGTTATTGCAAACATGATGCCTTGTATAAAGGTGTCAGTTTTTGTACCAGTTGAAAGGGTAAAAACCTATTACTAAAAATTCAGAACCACTATAATATGTGCATAGAATTAATAGTGGCACTAGAGAAATTAATTTCAAATGGAGATTTATAGTCAGTGGTGGTAAGATCCGATAAAATCTTTGCAAAGTCAGTGAATGCTTTGGGTGTTCCTAAACTATTAGAGGAAATTCCAGCTTACTCTGACAGGGAAATTTATCCCGGAACATAAATGTTCATGTTTCATGAAGACACACCCAATATGTAAGCACTCCATTTTAGCAACTCTGGAGGAATGATGGAAAATTATACAAAAGTAGAATCTACAACCATAGAGCATGAAAACAAATGACCATTGTGGCTTCTTTCCCATGTGGACAGGAACCACGAATGCTCATTGAGAAGAGAATGAAGTCCAGTGATGCTGAAGTTTGGAGGCAATTCCATGAGTTGTTGCAAGAAGTGTATAAATCCATCTCTGAAAACACGTTCTATTTCTTGTATGAGATGGATAAAAAATATACCATTGACAAATACGTGTACTGGAAGGCTTACGAAAATACTGACATCTCAGCACGTGCAATTTTTATACTGAATTACTTTATTAATGCGGATGAGACAAAGTGCCAGGGGCTCCTAGAGATGATCCTTGCAGGACAGAACAAGCAAACACAGCTGCAGACCCTGCTTGACTCTGCCGGTATGTGGGATCTGATGGGCAACTGGGCCTCACTGTGGGACTTTTCTTCGTTAATCATGGATATCAATACGAAAGGATGAAAATAACTTTTTTGCATAGGTTACATTTTAAGTCACGTAATTTTCTGTTAGGTATGGTTTTAATATGCATTACAGGCAAAATAAGTATTTTAAAACTTGTTTTTACATAAAACTGAGGCAATCGTATTGTTACATACAGACACATTAAGTAATAGTTTAAATTGCAATATGATAATATAATATCACCCATGCTTCCATCTACATTTTTTTTTGCTGAATACGAGGCGTTATACATCGGGGATTGATTAACTGAATCTGGTTGTGAATGTCTGTTGACATGTTTCACTGGTTTCATTGCAGTCAAATGCTCTCCAACTCTTAATCCAAACACGGCACATAAAGAACTCAACATCTCAGATGATGGCAAGACAGCGAAATGGCTCGAGAGCCCTCCAGAAAAACCCGATCACCCAGATCGGTTCAAATACTGGTCACAGGTGCTGTCCTCTGAGAGTTTCTCTGAAGGATGCCACTTCTGGGTGGTGAATGTGGGGGACGTGGAAAACCTCCGTGTTGGTGTCTCTTACCAGAGTATTCTACGTAAACAACTAGACAGTGCATGCCTGATGGGATTTAACAGCAGGTCCTGGTGTTTATGGAAATACGAAAATAAATACAAGGCCTGGCACGACCAGCAGAGTACGGAGCTCGAAGTGGGTGAACATCCTCGCAGAATCGGTGTTGGCTTGGACTTTGATAAACGGGTTCTGTTATTTTACAATGCTGACAGCAATGAGCATCTACACACATTTTATGCTCACTTCTCTGAACCCCTGCATGTTGCTCTATGGGTGTGGGATGGGAAACTCACAATTGAGCCTGTTCACAATGATAACAGATTGATATGCAGCAGTTTGAATAATGTATCCATGGAAAATAATCAACAAAATAAAATTGCCATGCAGCTCCTCTTAGAAAAGTCTTAGAAAGGTACAGTATGTTAAATAACACTTTTGTTTTCTCTACCACATGCACTGATAACCTTTCTATCTAAAAAAATAAAGGTAAGAAAATATGTTACATAAAAGATACTTCTCCAAACGTAGTAATTCCGTCTTCAGATGTTTCAACATCCAAATAGTTTTTTTCCAATTATCTGATTATCAAAGACACCCATTTAATCCCAATGGACAAGCTGAGCCTTGCCAGCCAGTAACATTTGCATTATATGAAGGGGTACTATTTGAAACTTCTGAATGGCCCAATGTTCTCTTGCTTTGGACTGTAATTGGTCTGCAGCATAAGTCCATGGCTTTCCAAATATATGTGGATATCACAGATAATATAAAAGTTTTTCACCCATCTGCTGGTCCACCCACCCTCTTATATTCAGCACAATTGCAGATAATGAAACTGCCAATTTGAAGGCAAGAATGACAAATAGGTCTAACTGCATAGATAAGACAGTTACAAATAACTATAGTTATACTGTATTTCCACATTGTGCAAATCAGTTGCACTGAAGACCCACACATCAGTGCGACGGTGCCACTCTACACAATATCGTTTCTGGGCCGATTAACTTCCTGTGGATCCCTTTCTCATATGCTGCGACAAGGTACAATTTCCACATTTTGCGTTGCAGATTAACTCAGCATAATTTTCTACATTGTGTCGTGTACGTTTACACTGCATGCATACTTGATTGGTGCAAAGTTATATTAATGTGCCTGAGCCTTTGGTCTTGAAAGCAGCCCTGAAAATTGCTGGGTCGTTAGTCAACTTTCAAGGCATCCATTCTCTATCTGCAATTGTTATTGTATATAAAATATCTTACTTTTTTTGGGAGACACGTTCCTTCGGAGTGGGCAGGTAGGATCTTGGTTAGACAGCGCATTCATGCACGACAGACAGACAAATAATCCCTGGTGGGCAGTGTGGAACCTGTTGTTCCTACCTGTATTAAGCAATATGTGTTATCAGTTTGTGATTATTATTTATATATTTTAAACACGATATATGGGAAAGTAACCCCCAAAAATAATAACATCTCAGTCTCTGAAACCTGACATCAGGCAAATAACGTGATACAGCCTTTGACCACGAATTAATAGTGACAGCAAGCACGATGACCACATGCTGACCCTGTCAGTTCCATTGATGGCTGGAGTGAAGTTGCCTTCACTACTGTATAGCTGCTTATTTTGTGGATTAGTATTAAATTTGTAATTATAAATGTAACGGGTCCAACCCATTGTGTTGTATGAATTAATTGTGGTACAAGGGCCTGCTGAGTTAAGGGATGAACAGAGAGAACGCGATAGAGGGCGCATTGGCGTCGGTTGTTGCTGGGCAGAAGTGGACTCAGGCGCATCATATTTATGAGAGTCACAAGTGTTTTCCATTACGGTGAGCAGCATAGAGCTAATACTTTTGTTGTATCCAACTTTCAGGGGTAGATATCATTTAAGTCATGCGCGGTTCGTCCACTAGGGGTGTTGGGTCGCCACCCCACTAAGCAGCTGGAAATGAGAAGTTATTTTTCTAATCAATATACTTTTCTATAAATTTTTTGTTGGGTTTATTATTTTGTAAATGTAATGATTCTTTCAACGTGAATTGCCTAATGAAGATAACATTTTAAGATAACATTTTAAGTTGTAAACATAGAAACCGCTGCAACAAAATCTTATTTGTGCCTCGGGGAAGTCTCAGGGCAGCTGTGATTGCGATTAGCTTCACATTTTAGCCACGCCGTTTGAAACTTATTCAAGGCGGTGAAAAAGGCGCCCATGGTTGTAATTACTATGTCACAACGTTAGAGTGCACTGTGCAAATATAGCAGGTCACGGCTTTTGGCAGTGTCAAAGGGGTTGTGGAATGTGGACTTCAGGGTCATGGGTCAACATTTGAGTGCTTTGTTGTTTTGTTTTGTTTCGTATTTCTTATAAATACCTACCAACGGTCGGCATTTATAAGCAATACTTTCATGGGAAGGCCAATAACATGATGGGGTTTTTCTTAATTAGAACAACTGATTTTCAGAGGTCACTCAAAACAGCCCCACCTATTGGAAATGTCACGACTCGCCACTGCTATAAGTCATCCACAGCACAAACATCCAGAGAGCTCTGTCCTCGATAATTGGAAATGCACCACGAATATATGCAGGATGCACAATCTTATATCGCTTCCCACTTTTATTCACTAATGTATTCACGACTACACGACTATCAAATCAATTTATAATGTAAGTTAATAGAAAATACCTGAACGTAATATTGAGGGTTAAATATATAATAATACTGCAAGATTCTGTAAACGAAAATTGATGGACTGATGGTTGCAATAAATCAACACTGGCTCATAAATCTGCGTGTCTGTGTCATATTCTCATGTTAGCACAACCACTGCTTTCAACTCGTTCATACTGCAGTGTGTCTCACTGTAGCTATCACCCTGGCTAAGTGATTCCCATTTTCCGCACTTTCTTGCAATACCTTGATATGGGGTTATATTTCTGATGTCATTCGTATCTGCAAGTGGTTAACGGACTTCGTGTGCCTTGGTGCTTCCGATTTTACGCATATTTCCTGCCAGTGTTACGTGAATGGTGCATGACTTAAATGTTGTTTGCCTTGAATGTGTTTGCTACTCCGTCCGTTGCAACGTTCATCTGCTGTATTTATTTTCTTATTCCACCAAGTTCCTTCACGGGTCATTCTTGTAAAGCAACTTACGCCTGAATGTTTCTTACTCGTATCAACAAATAAAATCGATCAAATGAAATCATCAATCACAAATCTTTTCCCGCACCTTCCTGTGCATTCTTGGTTAGTTTATCCTTCTAAGCCTTGGCTGCTGTCAGAAATTCTGTCGTCTGCACTCCCATGGTGTACGCACTCACGAACTGCGTTAACAGCTGTTTTATGTAGCCGCCTTTGCCAACAACCCTCTATGATCCGATTATTTGCACCTTCAAGGGACGGAGCATCCACACTTCCACGACCCACTGTCTCGTGTTTATCGGGATATTTAAACAAAAGTGGTCGATATTCGTCAAAATGGGTTGCATATTGCCTTTAATGAAGAGAATACCTATTGGGAATAATTTGAGAATGAATACGCACACTTGCATACATCTGTAAGGGAAATATATGAAGACAATCCATATCACTTTGACTTCGTGGTTTTAAATGTAACTGGATATATTATAATTGAAAAAGTGTGATTGGAAAAGTGTTAATCAGCCATTCCCCAATGAGGTGTTTTCCATTGACTGAGTTCACCTATTAGCACCCTCACTCCACTAAAAACTCTCTCAATGAGCTTCTCAACCCGTTTACACCGTACCCCCCCAAAAGTGACACATCCTCTCGATGTGTCTGCTTTGTGTAGAAGGGTGGTTGGCGGTGCGTCACGTGCAAAACCACACCAGGAGAGCCCAACAATAATGCGGGTGCAACGCATTTTATGGAAACCGATGGCAAAGGGGACAACTCAACACGTGTGACCCATGCAATAATGTAGGGAAAATATATCAACGGTAAATTGCCACCGAGTCTGGAATTCGGTCCCATAATCCGATGGCATTCATTCTCTTTCCCCAAGCTAAATCCACGAGGCTAATCTACACATCTGTTTTGCCATGGTGCCTCAGGTGCCCTTATGTTGCCTTTCACAACACCCTTATGAGTAAGATATGTGTGTACAGTGTGCTCTCTTCCCCATGCTTAGTAAATGTGGGCCCGTTTACATCGATACCTGCACCAGCTATCAACATTCAGGTTGGCCTGTCGACGATTAACCCTGTGTTTAACCAGACTGGACTGTATGAAGAACTCTCGGATAACTTTCCTATTAGTGAGCTCCTCTGGAGGAAAATATGTACTGGCTCGGGCATTTAGCTTGACCAGCCATTGCATGTCCAAACAACTTCTATTTCGATAGAAAGAGTCGGGCAAATGGGCATGGCACAGGCGAGAGAGGAAATGGGCTCATGTGCTACATGATTTGGAGCAGATTGTACTTGGTGATGACTGGCACCTGTGGTGTAAATTTTGTGTATATATTTGTTTGAGTGCAGTCTGCATGAGTGTGTGGTCTGTATGGGTGTTTGTGTAAAATTTATAAATCCCCACACATGCTCACTCGCCCCCAACTGCAGGTGAGGAACAACACACATACATGCAAAAAACAAACTCAGCAATTTGTTTAGTTTGCGTCTGGGAACCACATATCTAAAACCCATATTTTCTTAAAGTGCTGATGGTTTTTTGTATAAAGCACAAAAACTGGGCACTTTTTTACACGTTTTTATGTTGCTGTTTTAAACGTATGGTTTCCCAGCCTGCACTAATTTTACGTAATGTTTTTTTTCTTAATTTACATACTGATTGCAGGCGGGGAACTGAGTTTTTGTGTGGCAGATATAGCTGTAGGTGGGACATCAACCATGACATTTCACGGGCAAATTCGCGTGCTGCATTCATTCTTGTCAAGTTATACCATCTACTTCGTGCAGGCTGTAGCAACAGCACGAAGACTGGCAGACACAATTTAGTCCAAAAAGCAGGTTACGTAGACGATGCTCACTCTCAATTATAATTTAAACAGAAATGTTCATGTAATAAACTCCTTTAAAACAGTTTTTTTTTAAACAACGGTTTTATTCACAACTTCGTTTAACTCACGCATCAATGGCGCCTGAGACACAGGGCACCTGCGTTTTGTGCGAGCCGATTCCACAGTTTAGGGACCGCGGCGTTTTTGACCTACACAAATACAGTACAGTTGAACCTCTGGTCACGAACGCTTCTGACCACGACCAAATCGGGTTCCGACCAAAAAATTCACAACATTTTTGAATCTGAATTTCGATTTAAAGCTTTCGTGACTGCAGGGATTCATCTTCTTGGTTTTTTCGGTAAATTCACGTAGAAGGGAAGTAATAAAATAATAAAAATAAAACATAAAATAATTCTCACGACGTTTCGGCCACAACGCAAGCAGCCGTCCTCAGGTGAACGGCTGCTTGCGTTGTGGCCGAAACGTCGTGATATTTATTTTATGTTTTATTTTTTATTATTTTATTACTTCCTTTCTACGTGACTTTACCGAAAGAACCAAGAAGATGTTATAATCTGGTCACGAACACAAACTCGGGTGGCGATCAAACACGGCCGCGGCCAATTTCCCCTTCTGCGCCGTTTTTTTTGGAAGCGCCAAATTTCCTGTTGTTTGTTTACAAACAACAGCAACCCACGTGTGGCCGCTTGCTCAGTCAGTCTCGCTTAGTAATCGGTCTCGGTAAGATATTAATTTTATGAGTGTAGTTATATTCCCTCATTCAAGCCGTAATTTAGAGAGCGAAAGTGCTGAGTTCGTAAATCGCTAACATAAGAACCCGTTAATCACTTATCGCATCATTCATACGATGATATTACGGTGAATGCTTCCAAAAACAATACTGTACCCAAATATTACTGTTAACTTACTCTTCTTGGTTCTTTCGGTAAAGTCACGTAGAAGGGAAGTAATAAAATAATAAAAATAAAACATAATAAAATAATTCTCACGACGTTTCGGCTACAACGCAAGCAGCCGTCCTCAGGTGAAGAATGAGACACTACCAAGCTAGGAGCTTATATATACGCTGCGTTGGAGGTGCAAGAAGAGCGCCTTAACAAAAGAATGTGCATATGAAGAGGAATTTAGCATATTCATGGGAAATGCGTAGGAGGTGGGTGGGGGGGGGTTTCAAAGTCATATTATGCCCATGCATTATGCAGGATCAGCAGCACCAAGGGGGGGTGCAGGGAGTATCATTAACAAAGGAAAGGAATGTTAATAGTATGTAGCTGCAGTTACTAAACAACCACGTAGAAAACTAAAGTATAAACTACATAAAAAACTAAAGTATAAACTTCATAGCACCATCAGTATACTTACTATACTCTACAATAAGCTGAGTTACTCACAGCAAGTAATACATTACAATTCTACGTCGTAAAAATTATATAATATGCTTCCATCTAAACTTTATTCTCTTACATCACACGAGCATACACCGTACTATATACTGCCATAGATAAACCCAACATTAAATTATATACTGTATTGCTATAAACCACACTATACCTTATACATTTTAATATAACACTATGTATTATTCTACCCACCTTAATGTGTATCACACTGCTATATGTTTACTATACAATTACGATACTATATATTACTTTGTACATTGTATTAAGCATATAAATGTTATACTATTTGTTATTATACACTGTACCATTGACCGTCGTGTCAATGGGTGAGTCGTGGGGGGGAAACTTGCAGCGGAGCAAAGAATCCATTCCCTGCGGAGAATACAATGCCAGTGAGTGGAAACGCGGTCTGAAAGTCACCGTAAACGTGAACACAATCAGTTAAGATCCGAAATGGTTTATTACGTCCTTCCAATGATTGCTAAGCCAGAATCCATCTGGCTATCATGAGAGATTCGTTCATGAGGCGATCCACATATACAAACACAGAGACAATTTTAACCGAGAAGAGAGTTAAGGGCGGAGAAGTCTATCATAATTAACCAACATACAACACTCCAGGGGAAGCGAGCAGCTCACAGCCGTCTTTGTCTTCCCGAGAGAAACGGCCAGAGCACACACACAGCGCCGGGAAATGGCCCTCATAAAAGTTCGTGGCGAGCGGGCGACGGCTCGAGAAAGGAAATCAGATGCCTATAAAAAAAATAATAATAAAACACACGCGCAGTGTGTTCCAACGACGGAGCACAGCCGTCTTTGTCTCCCCGCAGCACGGACAGCAAGATTTGCGCACGCGAGCAAATAACATTTCCCATAGGGAGATCAAACCACGATGAAATACCGTGAACACGGCTACAGCATGCCTTGAGTCACTTACAATCAAATCAGAATACTACTAAGCAGCAAAAGTTAGTCATTTTAACTTCCAAACCAAACGAAGCGATGAGAGACAAAGGATAAACGCCCAGAGCGGGGGAGGGGATTTTAGAGCTCGCTTAACGCGTAGGCTTTGCAACCAATATTAATCATAATCAAAGCCAAAACGTGAATTATGATTCTGCAACCTCGGTGTGAACGCGAATCGTCAGTCTTTTTTAGTTTGATGACTCATATGTGACGCCAGTTTGCGAGGAAGCCCCCACCCCTCCTTCCAGAATTATTGCGGGCAGCTGGATCTTGAAAAACCTTTCCTCCAATAAAGCACATACAGACACACACACGACACACACGGACGGACACACACACGAACGGACACACGCAGATGTGTCCACACACAAAAAAGGAAAAAGTTCCGGCCTTTGAACAACTCGAAAAAAAACCGAGTGGATTTTCCCGATATAAGCCGAGGCAAAATCCATTCAACTTATCTCTCCGGGGCAAGGGCCCCCATCTCGTCTCCGGAGCTCCGGCCCCCATCTCATCTCGACGCCGACTACGAAGTAGCTCTTCCGTCATCCAGAATGACGATGTTCGCGGGGTAGCGACGTGCATCGACAAGCTGAGGTCTGCACCACCTAAGAAGAATCGCCACACTGAGCCGCCGGGCTACGAGTGAAGCTGACGGAGATTCCAGCTATCACTCTCGAGCCAACAAAGACACCCAACGTCCACCCAGCAACGAACGAAGCATCGTTCATCGCCAGAGTGACGACCAGCGAGCAACCTGTAGGAAGGGCGGAGATCGCCAAGCGTCGACCAAGCGAGCAAAGCAGAGAGCACGAAGCAGTGGAGAAAGCCTGATCGAGCGGCTGTGAGGAGGACAGCGCCAACGCATGCGCCGTGTGTTCAATACGCACACACAGATCAACCAGCACCAACGAGAACCGACTCGTCACCCAGCAGTGGAGAGAGAGTCAAAGCCTTCCGAACGAGCGCCGCCGTGTCGTCAGCTACAGAGAACGGCCCGCGCCGTCAGTCACAGAGTACGGGTGCCTGCGCCAAGCACCACCCAGCGGACGCCGTTCATCATCTCCCTGCGGAGAAAGTCGCGGCTGCAACCCGCACGGGCGAGAGGAAATCTCCGAACCAGGGTCGTATCACCTCCCCCACTCACAACCTCAAGGAAGCACATACACACACACACATCTACTTTCCGCGGGGCATGCAAGAATTTATCCAAGAGACAATCCACCTATCTCACAATGGGACCAACCCTAGACAATCATCAGAAGACTAATTATACAGTTTAAACACCAGCTGGCCGTGAGGAATCATGGCCCTCTGAATAATTAATAATCCGTCGGTTATAAGAGTGTGAAGTTTTCTTACCTTTTTCGTTTCTCTTATCGCATAAACGACCAATAGATTCGTCGATGCAAACTAAACTCTCGAAATCCTCATTGCGAATCGACACGTTACAGAGAGAGAATATCGTGCCAAACCTGTTTCTTTGTCATAGAGTCTCGCCGAAGAATTAATTAAGGCAGAGCCAGATACGCGCTCACACAAACACACGCCCTCAAACCACCATTGTCTCAAACATTTCGTTAACAAATACAATCTTGCCGACGAATCGATTGACGTATGCTTCGCCTTCGTGGTACAATAAGTGCTTTTATTGCCGTCATATGAATATCGTTGCCTGCTTGTTTTAAAACTCGGCCAGTTGCCGGTGGTGCTCGATACATGGGGGAACTAATGAGATGTCTGGTGGAAAAGTAGAAATTACGGTTGTTAGAAGAGTGTTAGTCCTTCAGTTTCGTTAATTGCATAATCTCGCCAATGAATCTATTGACGTATACTCTTGCCTTTGCATGTTAGAGTATCACATGTTTGTTTAGAATAAAATTGTTAACACAGAAGTATCTCGAGTGTTTCTTTCCAAGTCCATGCAAAACTGTCTTATTCATAAGAACTGTATCCTGCGATGAGATATGAAATTGGAGACCTAACATAACATAAACACACTAAGATAATCAAAAAATGCTGAATCAAAGATGATCGTGTTATCCTGATTGATACAACTCTGGATAAACGAAACTAAGCTTAATTATCATAACTGCACACATTAACATAATCGCAAGCATCCGCATAAATGACTACTATTATCTCCGTGATTATCATAATGCATGCATATAATTACACATTAACATAATTTATTCTATTTGCCCATTTTTCGAAATTTCATTAATTTTTATTATTTTTTTATCAAATTTCATAATTACAACATATACAACAAGCAGACGAAACAATAATCTTGTTGAACGATTCTAAACCTTGACGCGGCAATGTTTTCTCTTTTGTTCAAGGTTTTCTCAGTGTTATTCAATGTTTTTACATTTAGTTTACTATTACACTGTGACTTCTATGGCATAATTAACTATTTTTGTGCTTAAAAATCTTTAAAAAACAATATTTATATACAGTTCGTAGGAGTCTTGAACGGATTAATCGTATTTACATACAATCCAATGGGGAAATTAGGTTCGAGTCATGACCAAATCGGGTTGCGACCAAAGTTATGGAACGAATTATGATCGTGACCAGAGGTTCTACTGTATATGTAAATAATAAGGCATCAATACAAAAGGTAAATTGATTTAAAGTAGCGAATTAATTGATTAATTGATGCCGACTTTGATACAGGCATGCATTGTCACCGGATGTGAGTACGTGTGAAAAATGTGGAATTGATTGGACAACGGGAAGTGGGCAAAATTTTGATTACAAGCTTTGACCACGACAAACAAAGGAATCAAGTTAAGTAAAACCGTTGAAATAATTTAAACAGAAATGTTCATGTAAAATAAATACATTTTGACAAAATTATGAGGATCACACATGATACGATGGGTACTTTTCACGTAATGTGCAAATTCACGATCAAAGAGAACACGTTTGTAGATTTACATCTCGCCATAGCTTCTGGTCAATATAATCAGAGCTTTTTGCAAGGACGTTCATAGCGCTGTAACAATAAAAGGTAAAGGTGCAGCCCTGAAATTTCTCGCGCATGCCACTGCTGCTGGAAGAGCCCCTTTATAGGGCATTTGGCCTCATCTTCCACGCTGGACAAGTGTTATTGGAAAAGGTGTGAGTACCCACCATTTATGATTCCCACAGGACCTGCCAACAGACTTACTGTCGTGTACCCATTTACACTGCTGGGATGACAGGTGGGGGAATTTAAGAAACGTGCCCAGTGTCTCACCCTATCATGCCCGGGAGATTGAACCAGTGACCGCTGGATTACAAGTGCTGTGACCAATACACCATGGCACCATCCAGCTGTAGCAATACCGGAATAATATTAAAACTGTACAGTACTTTATAAGTGTCTCTATATGTCTCCGTGTCTCTCTGGCTCTGTGTCTGTGTGTCTCACTGTCTTTGTGTGTCTTCTTGTTGGTGTCTCTTCTTGTTTCTGTGCGTGTATCCGCCCGACTTGTCTTCTTATAAAAGCAAGTGTCGCCCGCTCATTTGCTTTGATTACTGCGCATGTTTTGTCACAAAAGATGTTTTCCTATAAAAGGGTGATTACTCAAACATTGCGGATAAAATAGAGGAAAGGGGGCATGGATCGTCGGAGTCGAGGGTTAAAAGCGCCGTAGATAAGAGTTCCCCCGTTCAGTATTCATATGCCAAGTTAAAACATTTGCCAAATATAATTATTTGTCAGTCTCCAGCTCTCAACCCCTCTATCTCTCTGGCCAAACTGAAGAATGGTTATTGCCATAAACGTCACCTATTTTACTGACACTGTATTTTCTTGTAAGACCACTGTTATTTTGTTTGTTATGTATGTATACTGTTTTATTCTTTTTTAAAGGGAAGTCATGCAAGACCTGCAAGGTATGCAGCCGCACTTTCTTGCTCCAAATACAGTAATTTACTGGTGGTTAAGATGTCTTGCGACCCCCCAATTAATTTACCCTACAATGTGTTTCCTTTGCATGTTCATTTCTGCTTCAAATACATCTTACTGACAAAAATATGACAATTTAGTAGATCATTAAATGGTGATCACAAGACATCTGGACCACCACCCGGCACAGTGTTTCCAGTTTGACCACTTCTCTGAGGCGACAATGAAAAGCACGGAATGAGGAACTTGTAAAGGAGCTGCGGTCGCCGTGTTTTCTTGATTGCTGGGTGTCGTTAGTCTACAAACTGGCACGGTACATTCATCTTAATCTACATGTATTTTGAGAGACATTAACAGTATTTAATAGCTAAGTGTTTTACACTCATAGCCACTGGTGATCCAGCTGGGGTTTCTTCTGTAGAAATGTTCAAGTGCTACAATGCGTATTTGCATTATTTGACAGTGAAGTATCTCTAAAGCAAAGCTACATAACAGCGATATTAATTATTCATCGTTAGGTTCGTGCTCCAGTAGTACCATTTTGACACCAAGTTTGAACGATGCAGCCGAAACAAGTGGCAGCAATGGGGCTGATCTCTGGAATCGTCTTTTTTACGTTCATCTCAATGGTAAGTGTGTAATACAGTTTATACTCACTACGAGAAGACGCTGTCTACTCAGCTGCTCCTAATCTCTTTCGGTATCAAACCGTACCTCACATCATCTTCCCAAGCCTCCGATCACCATTGACATAAAGCCGATGGCTAGTGTCACTATATTCCTTCTGCTGCCAAATTGGTATTTTCTCTCAACTGCCCGTGATTTTTAAATCCTTTATATTAAGTTCGCTTGCTTGCTTAGGACCGTGCAAATCTTTCGGTCGTTTTTTAACCCACTTCCCGTGATCCAATCGAGCTGACATTTTGCACACAGACTCGTTGTGCATGACAATGCATTTTCGTGAGAAAAAAAAATTCCAAAATTTTACACTGTTTAGGGAAAAAAAATGTAATTACCAATTGTTTAATGCTGCCAGACAATCATCTGACCCATAGGTGGCAGCCATCTCTCAAGCCAGAGGAAGAGAGGACTCTAGCCGCCCCGATGCCACGCATATAAAGGATGTATAGTGAAAAACTTTGTTTTTACGGGTTTACTTGTTCTCCGTTGCTTCTCAGTGGCGATCAGACAATGGGAGGTTGACACTTATTTTGGGCTGCTCTCAATATCTAAAAAAAAAGATACACGATGTGAGGTCTTTTATTCTCGTTGGCTGCTCCTTCAGTTTCGGCTAGCCTGTTTCTTGCCGTTAATGTTTCAGATGTTTTAACTATTTAATAACTAAATATTTATATCGTCACTTGTGTATAATTACATTACACCTTTCTTTCAAATATACATATGAATAATCTTAAGATGTCATCCTAACCTTTGGGGCTCTGCAACCATCGAACACCGATTTGTTCGAACACCGAATTAATGTTCCCCATAAGAATGAATGTAAATTACATTAATTGGTTCTAGACACAAGAAATCTCTCATAAAGCATTTTTACACGAAGTTTACAGTAATTACATGCATAAAATCATAATAAAAACAAGAAACAATAAGTAAATGAAATAAATGAATAAATATATGAAATAAATGAACATTGAACTTCACTTTCCCTGTAGTAAGGAGAGTTTATGGCTTGAGTGGAAGGTAGTGAGGAGGAGGTGGTGGTATTATTGTTTGTAAGGGGAGTCCCCTTCTATAATAACGTCTGGGGTTCTTTCTCTTTTGTGCCTCTTTTCTGCCACTAACTGTGAGTCACTTGAGCTCTTTCTGACTAAAACTTATCTAAAGAGGTTTGTTTCTGCCTCTCATACGGTAAAACCTTTGTCTGGGTAAGCGTCATGCACGTTGGCCATACGCGTCTCAGCCGTACAGGTTCTTTCAAGTCGCGATTGCCCGTTTAACCTCCGAATTTCGTTGGGTTTCCGGGGCAAAAGATGCTCGAAAATATTGTTTGAACACCGATTTGTTCGAGTTCTGGTGCGTTCGATCTCCGAGGTTCTACTGTTTATTCATCTTTTGCAAAATAGGGCGGTGAAGCATCCCTCTCCAGCCGACTTGGTTATAAAAGATCTGCGTTCCAAGAGGAGTCCTTAACAGAGGTATTACTGTATTTACTTACCTTAAAAAGAAATAATTGTGTTACACTTAATTAGATCTGTATAAAATATTAACACGTTGCATAATGCATGATACAATGATATATAATTGTTAGCAACATCAATAAATAAACGTGAACATCAATATCAACATGATCATATCTACAGCATTAACCTTTTTATGCAGAGCCACAGTTCATCATCTGAAGTTAAGCTTTTATCCAGGAAGTATGAAGGCCCATTGTAATATTTGCCTGGTCAACACTTGTCAGTGACATGGGCCATGATGCTGGGTATTCTGTAAAAAGGAACTGCATCATCAGCATAGTTGAGATCAGTAAACAGTTTGTCCCCAGCAACCCTTAATCAATCTTTTATCCTTTTTGTATCTAAGAGATTTGCCAAATTCTGAGTAAAGGTTTTGGTTAGCCTCATTTCTCAAGTGTAGAATACTGTGAGAATGGGCCTGCCACTTTCTCTTAGCTAACTGGAACCTCCATCAGCCAGTTTCTTGGGCAGTGTTCTTGACTAATTTTCAGAGGGGGGCCACTTTCGCCGATAAGACATCATCAGTGTGAGGGTCGTCACATATTTGAAACCATTGAGTTTGACAGAACGATGGTGGGAGGTGTTTTCACAATTGTGTAATGTCGGGGGCCGCACGACAGGGGGCGCACTAAAGGCCACCAGGGGTTGCGAGTGGCCGGAGGGCCTTGCAATGAAGAACACTTATATAGGGCGATCTGGACTGGCTATCCAGCACAGTAGTCGCATCTGCACGTGTCAGAGTCCCAAACCTCACCCATTTCCCCTCGGCATCAGGAGAGGGGAATTATGTCATTCCTAAATGTAAACAATGCTCGTATTCTCGATATCAATGTTAACTGGACAGAGCCCAAATAATTATGGGGTTGATGTTCAAGAGTAGGTATTCATAATTAGTATTTTTTCAATTCTGACGTTTAAAATTTATTTTTCAAGTCGAATAATTGTATTATTTAAGTAATACATTATTTTATTCATTTTCCTTCAGGGTAATAGAACGAAATGAGACTGGAAAATGTCTGCATACAGTACAGACAAGACAGTACAATAAAAGCAGTACAATACAACAGACAGTACAAACGATACACTGTGCGAAGCAGACAGTATATTTAGACAATAGAAACGAGGCTTAACAGGCAATACAAAAATATATTGAATTGATATTGAATCACGATAATACATAGAATCGCATGGGGTTTGGATTAGAGTGAATCGTTACCTATATTATTGAGGAGTCATTGTTGAATACACGTAGCTGTGCTCTGACTCTTGTTCTACTTTAATTTCATGTTAAGGTTAAGCATAATGAATGTGAAGATAAAGGACAATACAGAGCAGTGAAAGGGTTTTGCTGCCACCTCTGTCCTGCAGGTAACTAAGCAAAGCAGTAACACATTGTGACTAACAATGCATCCACTGCCCTATGTGGTCAAATGTTAGTTTGTAGAGTGTGTGTTTTTCATGTAGACAATATAAGCGATTGATGATTGTATTTGCACAAAATACCACACTTTAAATTACGGCAATGCTTGCAACAGAGCATAAATATAGCTGGGAAGGCCAAAGTTGATCACCATCACCAATGGGCGAGGTTATATTGAATCAGCTGTTCAGTACTCAGCTGTGTGTTAATGCCCATAGAGAGTTTTTGGCTGCTATACATTTCCGTACAACAAGCTATAATTTGTGGTCAGGTCACTTCTGAAAAATATGTCAGTGGGCCTTACCTAGTAAAAAGATACAAATATCTGACATGCCTTTATTCTTTGCTGAAATTAAATACTATGTGGCATCATTTATTACAGCAGGCCATAGTGAAACATTAAAAGGCATTAGAAATAAATGTTTTGGAATTCATATTATGCTTTGTATAAACGTCATCAATTAGAAATGCAGACATATTGAATAACGTGTTTGAAGTAAAAGGTATTGAGATGTAATATTTAATCAAACGTTATTTTCTGACCCCATAATTACTTGAACTTGTCCATTTTATAGGAGAGAGGTGGGTTGATGACTGCATTTCCGATGGCGACCAATCTTTCTGCTCATTTTGCATGTCAGGGGAGAACTACATGGACGTTGCAAACCGTGATCCTCAATGCAAAAAGTGCAGCAACTGCAATATTCTCTGTAAGAGTTCCACATCAGTAGGTTTTATGTGTGTATATAAATCACTATGTTATATAAAACACAACTAAATCGATGAGAAAGTGTTGAATCACCTTGCAATTCGTTAGAAAGTGGGTTGTGGTGGAAAACATTGTAATAATAATATAAAGATCTATGAAATCTGAGGTTGGTTGAAACCATGTTGCTTGATAGGCTGCACCCAAGATTCCATCTTTGGATGGACCATAGATGACAAGGGTCGATTCATGAGAAAGGTGGGCTGAGCAAAAACAATCTCAGGTTATTTCATGGAGTCACAGCACTCCAAGTGGGACTCGCTTTACTCCACAATTAACTGGGGTCGGTGCTTGAAGAAATGGGCAGACTGTGGGCTCTAATCCTGGAGCTGATCTTTTATCTCAACTTGAGCAGGATGGTATCCATCTTGTTGCTACATATCATGAAATTAAAGAGAAAGGTTATCCATCTGAAATAGTTTAAAAAAGATGGCTGTCAAGATATTGAGCTGCCTAATGAAGAAGACTGATGATCGCACAGGCAATTGGAGCTGGTACGCCCCGGTTGCATGGCAGGCCAGCATGACAACAAGGTGGCCTGTCGACTTTTCCACCAATTGGCTCCAGAAGTTGTATCAATTGAAAAGGCACATGCACAAAGTGGAAATGTATCATAAGTTGGTAATGTAGGATGGTCTAAGAACAGGAAAATTCTTTAATAATACGAAAAGCTAAAATTCAACCATTAAAAAATTATGAACACACGCACAGGAACCTTGACCGAGAAATCATATACACAGATGACGTCACTGGAAGCTCTAGCACTTCCTATTTTAGAGTTTAGATTAATATGTCCTGGTTATTTACAACTCACCTAAAATGTCTACAATTACACAGTCAATAGGATCCATGGCAGCATCCACTAAGCCACTATTCTCCATTAAAACAATGAAATGCTGGCAGATTACAGGCAATGTCACCCAGATAAATTATTTTTTCAAGCCTTATTTTCTTTCTTGATTTGAAGCTTTCATGACTGCAGGAATCCATACTCTTTGGTTCTTTCGGTAAAGTCACGTAGGTAGAAAAATTAAATAAAACAATAATATATCAGGACGTTTCAATCGCAACACAAGCAGTCGTCCTCAGGCGGAAAAATAATCCAGCAGTGGAACCGCTGAACCAGCGAGAGAGCTGTTACAACAGGAGGTTATTTACGTGGCGATGGGCAAGCACATGTTTTACAGTAAGACCACGCGGAGACAGGATTTACTATAAGGGCTGTTGCCATGTATTAACACTGTAGCACACAACACTCTAAACTCACACCAGAGGTAGGTGCTCTCTATTCTTGGTCCTTGCCCTGGACCCCCGAACACTAAATGGTCCTACCCTCGGCTATCCCTTGGGGCTCCCTCGGCTATCCCTTGGGGCTCTCTCGTCTGGCCGGAGCGGGGGTTCATCCAACACCGCCCTGCGACAAGGATAGAGAAACCCTCTCGGCCGATCCTTACTGAATACTCGGAGCCCTGCTCTTGGCTATCCCCTTGGCTCTCCCACTCGTCTGCCTGGGATGGGGGTTCAGCCAACACCGCCCGGCGATGAGGGAGAGACCTCTTCCAGCCGATCCTTGCCCTGGCTCCTCACAACATGTCTGCCTTCGTCACGGGGTCTCCCTTAAGTACCCCTTTGGCGGCTCCTCCCTCTAGCTCAAACCCGCCTTTGTTCCCGAAGGTGCCCCCTTATAGCACCCGTGACATGACGTCATCCTCGGCTGTCAATTCGCTTGCACCTCCCTCTGTTCACCCTTCATGGTTGCTCATGCTACTCTACACACACAACACCACATGATACAGATAAAGTTACCTCATCACGACTATGTTATTATAATTGCGATTATTGTGTGAGTTGACCTGCGGTGAGGCATGCATTCTCGAATGCCATGCTACAGGTAAATGTGACTCACTGTGATTATAATGATCAAAGAATAACTCCTCTCATCCATACATGAGAATCAGAATTTTTATTTACACTGAAGGAATCCGATTAGCTATGAAGCTGCTTTTCACAAATGTCCAGGAGGGGCGGATCAGCAAGTTACAACAACAAACATTCGTTTATCAGTTACCCTGTTCTCCACAGCCATCAAAGATTATACATGTTCCATCGTATTACCAAATTGTAATGTACACTATGCTAAAATTATGGCTACTTAGGACATTGCCAAGGCCAAAATTGTATACATTAAACAAACAGTAGAGTACTGAAATTAAAGTAAGTTTCCTTTTGTTCTCTGATGTGTAGATGAAGATGTTCAACGGTACTGTACTGACACAAGTGACACTGTGTGTCAGTGTAAGGATGGATACAGTCGGCCACATCCTTCACAGCCTTGTGGAGTTACATCAAACACAGGTGAGAAATGTCTTATTCGTCTCTATAGCCTCTGATACCAAGATATTCAATTAAGAGCGATTGGCATCAGGTAATGTACAAACTTGCAAATGGTAAATAATTTACACATCTTGGACGTCATTGAAATCGTGTCAGTAGGGCTGTTTCGAGTTTTTCTCAAGGTACCAGGCAGTGATCTGTACTTGCCCCATCATTATTAATTGCTTAACTGACATGCCACAACACGTCGGAGAAATGTATACACACATGATATTTCCCTTACTACACTTGTCAAGCCTAAAATAGGTTATTCCTTCACCAAGGACCTAACCGTGAATATTTCAGACATTGGCAACATCATTGCATTGGAACAATTTGCTCGTAATTGCTGAACCAAATGTCTGTTTGCAGCAAGGAAATCTAGAATCAGCCATTCCCAAAATATTTTGGGGGTACTGTTGGTCGAAACCAGACCAACCATTAAAGATTTATGAAAAAATGCAAACCTTATCCAGAAAAAAAAGATTGCCAAAATCCTAAACAAACACAAGATCCAGGTCCGATTCAATACAGTACACAAAATCCGTGATCTGAACCCATCTGTGAAGGATGTCATTCCTGACATGCAATACCCTGGGTTCTACAAACTAAGTTGTGTCTGCGGTAGCAGTTACATTGGGGAAACGAAATGACATGTCTCGGACCGGGTTCGCGAACACAAGGCAGATCTGAAACACGGCAGAACCAATACCTCTGCCGTAGCTGACCATTTTTATAACGCTGTGGGCTCGCACATTATTGTATTTTTTCCGAGACCAAGGTACTCTGCAAACCTTTGGGTTACCATCAAAGATTTGTCCATTAAACTATCCAGATATATAAACATAGAGACAACTTCAACCGAGAAGATGGATATAAGCTGAGCAACCATTGGAAGGACGTTATTAATTCTAGATTTGAAGCTGTCGTGACTGCTCGGATTCATACTCTTTGGTTTTTTCGGTAAAGTTACGTATGTAAAAGATGAAATAAAACAAAATAATTTAGTTTTCATTTATTTTGTTTTATTTTATTTTTTACCTACGTGACTTTACCGAAAAAACCAAAGAGTAGGACGTTATTAACCAGCACAGCAGCCAGCTCCGCAGCCTGGATTTACCCAGGTTCCTTGCGCAACTGCCACTACGGCCTCTTTTGGATGGCTGCTTTTGTCACACATAGACACGACATTAATGAGCTAATCTCTCATTAACTTTAACATGCTATTCTCTGTTACACATAGACTGACATTAACTTGCTAATATGTCATTAACTTTGACATGCTTTTCTCATTAACTTTGACTTGCTAATCCTTCTCAAACTTATATAACCCCTTGCTTATAGCAGCTTTCTCACCATTTTTCGCCTGATGACGGACGCTTGTGTTGCGTTCGAAATGTCATTTATTTTATTTCTACCTACGTGACTTTACCGAAAGAACCAAAGAGTACTTATCCAGAAACTTGCAGACACTAGTTGGAGAGCAGATGTGCTTACACTACATATTAATATTATACCTGTTTTATATTTGCACATCCGAGCCATGCTGGGGCCATGAATGCCAGCGAGGTGATTCTCAAGAGGCATGAGTTACTTTTCCACTGCACAAGCTGACCCATGCCATTGTTGTCACATGCAATTCTGGATATCAAGACTGTCGATGACGCCGTTATACTAATTTGTGCTGACTGATGTCACACTAGTTGTGAATCAGACATGCACACACGAGCAGACATTACAGAACGCTCTGCTCCTTTTTGGGCTGAAAGTTACCACATCAATGAACATCTTAAACATCACAATGAGGATTGTCACCAGCAAAATAAATTCAACTATTTTACTCTGGCTCTCTGTGCTTTCGAACATGTCTCTTATAGATGTCTGCAAACAGCAAAGAAATGTCTATGAATACAGCTGCATTTAATCAATCCTAATTTGCCCATCTAAGAAGCTCAATAATTATATTAAACAAAATTTCGATTTAAAGCTTTCGTGACTGCAGGGATTCATCTTCTTGGTTCTTTCGGTAAAGTCACGTAGAAGGGAAATAAAATAATAAAAATAAACATAATAAAATACAATTCTCACGACGTTTCGGCCACAACGCAAGCAGCTGTCCTCAGGTGAAAACCAGGTCTGTCGAGGCGACAGCGTCTGACGCTGTCGCCTCGATTAATCGCCTATATTAATCTAGATGGTACATCAATCTAGACAAAAATGTCAATACATTATTTATTTTATAACACGCGACTATCTATTGTGATGAGAATTTCTAAATATTTACTGGAGCTGGACAGGACCAGTTCAGATGCCAGTGATGTAAGCCGTGGCAGGTAACAAACTCACATTGCCAGGGTCATAGGACATTGCGCAAACCACTGCACCACCTTTGCACCCCCATTCCTATGTCAATCTACTGTGCTTCAAGTATTAAACTGGTTGATTTTCTTACAAAGTGCTCATGCTATGTTTATGTCATAATAATGAGCCAGCATAGCGCAAATGGTTGCAGGTGGATGGTTTGGAGGTGCTACTCCTTCCAACTTGCGTTTTGCAGTTCATACAATCCATGCAGTTTCTAAAAACAGCTCAGCGCGGGTAAAAATTCCGAATATTATGGCTACATAGATATTAATTAAATTACTTGACCGTACAATCTGAAATAAAAAAAATCAAATAGTGTTTTTCACTTTGCGAGGCACCATTCTGAAGATCCCATTGGAGTTAAAATCAGTTTTTTCTGTGTTATTGCACAATTGTAAAATTGTCGTAATTTTGTGGATTGTGTGTAATCAACAAACGAAACCAACATTTTCATGTACAGTACACATGTACAGCCCTTGTGTCAATCCACTGCTGGATAAGGTCCTGCAATTTTCATATCAGGGCTCTACGACACATTTGACCACTATTACAGTGGCGTGTGGCATAGTATCGACAGGGCGCGATTATTGCAACGCACTATTCTAGGATAGGTTTCGCAAAAACATTACCAAGCTGCAGCATGTACAAAATTCTTTAGCATGTGTCGTGATGGCTACTGCAAGATCCGACCATGTCCGTCCGACGCTCGCTGAGCTGCATTGGCTTCCGGTTGCTAAACGAATACATTATAAGGTTGCACTTATTACACGCAAAGTGCTTGCCACAAATGAACCACAATACCTCGCTGATCTCGTCAAGGAGCATAAATCATCACAAACTGCGGTCATCATAGTGGCTTTTGGCTATCGATCGAAAAAATACGGTCACTGCATCGCGTGCTTTCAGATGTGCTTGTGCAGCCAGCCGTCTGGAACGCTATAAAACTGTACCATGCTGGTTTTGGGGGGGTTGCTGAAGAGAGGTTGCATAGATTCAAACTACAACAACGAATCTTGCTACAATGTCCCCTGTTTCCCACCATAGCATGTTACAAATAATATATACTTTGATCCATCAGGCTTGATTGTGCATATTTACTTCATGAAGCAGATCCCTACAGCAAAGCTAATGTAGTGCGGAACTGACCAGTTGTAACAATGTTTGTGGATAGCTCTTGACTACAACATCTAGCTGTCTGGCATTTGTTTAATTGGACACACTGCTGATAAGACTACAATTATAAACCATCATTCTAGTGGTGAAGTTTTCGTGACCGCAAAGATCCATACTCTGGTTCTTTCGGTAAAGTCACGTAGGTGAAAAAATAAAATAAAACAAAATACGGCAGAACTAATTCCTCCGCCGTTGCTGATCATTGCTATAACGCTGTGGGCTCTCATGATATTGTTTTCTCTGAGACCAAGGTGCTCTGCAGGCCGTCTGGCTACCATCAAATATTTGTTCATGAAGCCATCCAGAAATATAAACATAGACATAACTTCCACCGAGAGGATGGATACAAATTGAGCAATCATTGGAAATATGTTATTAACCAAGTAAAATGAACTGTTCATAGTTGTTACATCTTATTTACCAGGTTCTAGTCTATTTTACCGAGTTAAATGCATCCTCAGCGTTTAGCAGTGCGGCTATTGCTTTGTTTTGAGCGCCATCAATCTGTTTTGGCTGCAATCGTGTCGCTGCTTTGCTCTCCCCCCAGCGCACCTCCAGGCACCGCATCCTCTTACTTCTCGCCCCCCCCTCCCCTGCCCAGTCTCACGTCCCAGTCCCACGTCCCAGTCCCAAGCACACATGCAACGCTCCCTCTCCCCGACCGCCCTCTCTGACTTATATAAACTCCTTAACTCCGGCATCTCTCCCTCTTCAGTAAAAAATATTCTTGCTGTGGTTGTCACACCTGATGATGATTGCTTGTGTTGCAATCGAAACGTCGTGATTTAGTTTATTTATAATTCTAAACCATCCCCAAGTTTTCTGCTTAAATGCATGTTACTAGACAACATTGCTCCCAAATTTAAATTGGTTGATGCACTGATATAAAACCATAGGCACTGGTGTCGATGTAACAATATGTCAGAGAGTGATATACAATAGTCTTGGCATTTAATTGTATATGTCAATAAATATACATGCTGAATGTTTATCTTTGCCATTTGCTGCCTGCAGAAAAAAACATTGCAATTCCTGCTGGAATTGGGACCTTCATTCTTCTGGTGGCGGTGGTGGCCTTATTGATTTATCGGAAGAAGAAATGCTTATACCCCTTTGGTAAGAAAAATTAGAGCATTTTATGTAATTTGCATTGTTTAATAATGAGACCAATGCTTCTGTAGTGGGTTCCACGGAGACTGGAGACGATGTCTTTAGAGGCAACACGGTTTATTGTAATTCTTTAACAGAAAGCCCCCCTTTACTCCCACTACCTGGGGAGGTATGGCCTCTGGGCTGACGTGCCCTATCACTGGGGCTACGGGCTCTGAGTCCTCCGGCTAAGGGTGCCCTAGGGGAGGCTAACTGACCCGACCCAGCCAAGGTGCGGGTCTCGACCACTGGTCTGTGCTCAGCCCCGGCCCTTAAAAGGACGTCGGGTCCCGAAGTCCCAGGGTCCTAGCCTAGCTGGCCTTCTGTCTTCGTCTTTAGACCACTGCCTCGAGCCGTTCTGAGGTCTGTCCTTTATACACCCCTCGGGGACTCTCCACCCCTGGTACCGCCCCCTTTTTGGAACCTTCCAGGGGGCTTTGGAATAACCTCCCAACCCCTCACCTGGGGTCGGGGGTGAGAACTTGGCCTCTCAACAGCCCGGCTCTCTCTCTCTCTAGCTCAGAGTGGCACCCCCTATAGACCCGTGCCCGCAACTACAGGTAAGTATACACAGGGGCGGTGTGTTCTATATATTTCCGACGATATATCACCCCCCCCCCCCATGTAGCATTTAATAAAAACCGGCCAGAATGAAAAATTAGTCTGTCTGCTCTTAGTTCTTTCGGTAAAGTCACGTAGGTAAAAAATGAAATAAAAATTAATAAAAATAAAACAATAAAATCACGACGTTTCGGAGGCAACACAAGTCTCCGTCATCAGGTGGGACCGTCACAGCCAGATTTGCTGCATCAAGTGAGGGAGGGATTCAAGATGCAAGCTCTTAAGTACCAGTTAAGAGGGGAGGGGAGGGGGGGAGGGGCTTATCAGAATGTGGTAGCCAATGAATGGAACGTATCGGGAGGGGGGGGGGGGCTAAAAGAGGGACGGGGTACTCGTGGTCGTGGTCAAGGACGTGTTTGTGCGCAAGTCACTGTGGATGTACATAATAGAAAAGGAACGAAAATGCCCATGTTTATACCAGTGTTGGCTGACAATAAAGAGAGTACTGTTAAACGCTAGGGATGTTAATACTCGGTAAAGTAAAATAGTGCTCTAATTCCATCTGGTTGAAGTGTGAGGAGGGAAAAAGGGTTTGAGACGCGACAGGTGCACGTTCCAGCACCGCTTACCATGTTGGACTTTCACACACTGAGGCTGGACGACCCACACAATGTCCACCGGGCCCCTCCAGGGCTTCAGCAATTTGGGCGATGTTGCTAAGGGCACCTGAGGGAAATGGAGCCAAGCCCTGTCATTCGCAGTCCATTTATGGCAGGACATGCGGAGGCCACGCAGTCGCTCATTAGCTAACTGGCGAGCCTCAGAGGTTTGTTTAGCAGCCTCTTGCACCTCGACCAACCTCCAAACATTGGATAGAATATGTTCGGCAATAATGGACTTAGGGAAGGGCTGCCTAGTGCGCAATTGAATGTCCACGGGAGGGTTGACCTCCCTGCCGTACATCAGGTAAAATGGGGAAAACCCCGTGGTCGCATGGGGTGCCATTCTGTAGGCGGCCAAAACACCGGGTATATGAAGGTTCCAATCGATCTGCGACTCGCACACTTGGTGGCTCAACATAGAGGTAAGCATTATGTGGAGCCACTCAACCATACCGTCAGTTGGTGGATGGTATGGTGATGTGCGAATTTATGTGTGCCTAGCAGGTTGCACACATCCCGTAGCAAAGTTGAAGAAAAATTATTCCCTTGATTGGTCAGTAGCCGTTCTGAAGCACGCTTATTCAGGACGTAGCCCTGGAGAAAGGCCTCTGTGACGGCCGCTGCCGATTGGTTGGGGAGAGGCCAGGCCATAGGCCAATGGGTGAAATACTTCATCCCAACCAAGAGGTAATTATTACCCCATGGAGTGACGGGAAAAGGGCCCGAGATATCCAGCGCTACAAGTTCATTCATGCGGGATACATGAATGGCCTGCAGAGGAGGACACGACAGTTTAGAAGGAGGTTTCTGCCGAGTGCACTGGGGCAACCTTGCAGAAGGTTAGCGACGTCCCCTGCCATGCCCAGCCAGAAAAAATCCAGTTGGAGCGTGGCAAGGGTTTTATATCTTCCCAAACGTAAAAGGCGCTATTGAGCAGCCCACACAACCTTCCCACGCAGGGACGTGTGCACGACTAGCTTGTCCTCTTGGTCGCTGCCGTCCCATCGCATGAGCAGGCCATCCCTTGTGCCAAGGGAGACCGGGCCCTCGGGACCTGCTCGCTTTTGAACCTCGCTGGCTCGATGGCGCATGCTAAGGAGGGAACCTTCCTCCACTTGGAGGCGGCCTCACTCGTCAGAGCTGAGGCCCAACAAAGCATCCTGTGCATCGGCCACAGTGGACGCCGGAGGGGGATCTACCACGCCCTTGGCCGCTGCAGCGACAGAAGGAGGCGCGTCATCGACGGGCTGCTTGCAGTGGCCCGATCCCAAGAAACAGGCGCACCGTCCTGAACCATGCAACTGCGATAGCGCATCGGCGTTTCCGTGTCGGACTCCCTTACAGTAAACAACGGTAAACGAATAGTCCTGAAGGACTTCTAACTAGCGGAAGAGTTGTCCTGACGGCTGATCAACCCGGAGAGCATACTAGAGAGCTGCATGGTTGGAGCGGACGGTAAAATGCCTACTGTACAGGTACGGTCTATACTGCTGTATGAAGAAAATTATAGCCAATAGCTCTCAACGGGTGACGCAGTATCGTTGCTCAGCGGGTGATAACACTCTACTGCCGTAGGTGACCACACGCTCCACGCCATCAATGACTTGAGACAATACCTCCCCTATGCCGGTATTGCTAGCGTCCATGTCTAGAAGGAACGGTGCCCAAAAATCTGGGTAACTCAGGGGAGAGGCATTGACCAGGCCATTGCGGAGTGCATCAAACGCGGCTTGTTCCACTTCGCCCCAATGGAATTTTGCCCCCTTGGCCGTCAGAGCATGGAGGGGCTTCGCGATGGATGCAAAGCCCACAACAAACCACCAATAGTAAGAGGCGAATCCTACAAAGTGGGGGTCGGCCAGGAACACACGCAGCAGGTTTTAGCAGGATCTGTGGCAATTCCGGATTGGCTAACAATCTGGCCGAGGTACCGGATAGAGCTCCGCAGCAGAAAGCATTTCTGCGGCTTGAATTTTAGGCGTGCCGCGCGCATCTTTTCAATGATGACGCGCAGCCGGTCCAGGTGCTGCTCAAAAGTCCGGCTGAAAACGATCACGACATCTAGATAGATTAAGCAGGTCTCCCACTAGAGCCCAGCGAGAACTAGCTCCATGAGGCGCTGGAACATCGCTGGGGCTGAGTGGAGACCCATAGGCAGCCGGTTGAATTTGAAGAGCCCCTGTGGGGTGTGGAATGCCGTTTTGGGTTTCGAAACATCCTCCAGAGGCAATTGCTAAAATCCCGACAAAAGGTCGAGGGTAGAAAAATAACGTGCACTGGCCAGGGCATCGAGCGATTCGTCCATCCTGGGCATGGGGTATGCGTCGGCTACGAAACCTTATTAAGACGGTGGAAGTCAACGCAAAACCGAAGGCTACCGTCTTTTTTTTTAACGAGGATGATCGGTGCCCCCCAAGGCCTGGTGGAGGGGGAAATGATATCCGTTGCGAGCATATCATTAACGGCCACCCGAACGTGCTCTTTCTCGGCGAGGCTGAGATGGAATCGATTTTGCCGAATAGGAGCTGCGTCCCCAGTATCGATGTGATGACTGAGGAGGTCGGTGCACCTAATGTCAAACTTCCCTCTGCTAAAGACGTCCGAGAAGTCTCTGAGCAACGTGCACAATTCACCCCTTTGGGATTCCGACAGGTCAACGCAACCGGCGCACAGGGCATCAATCCATCCGTCATCGAGGTCCGAATGGGGGCGGGCTACACGAGCATCTCCGAGTCCCCCAGGAGCACCGGTGTCACATGAGCGAGCACCTTGCCCTGGGAAATGACGGTGGTATGCAAGCCCGCATTAAGGACCTGGATGAAGGGTTTTCCCTCCCCAGGAATGAGTGTCTGTGCCCCAATCAAATCCAACCCACGCACAGCTGTGTTGGAGGGCATTAACAGAACATCGTTAGCGAGCGCGTGCGAACCGAGGGGTTTTCGCAACCGAAGGGGGACAAGCATTTGCGACCCAGGCAGGATACGGACCGTGTGTGACGCCAATGCCTGCACAGTCGCACAGGCCGTACGCAATTTGGATGGAGAGGGCAAGAAGGACATGCGCCGGCCGGAGGGGAGCTCGATACAGCCCTAGCTGACCAGGATTTTAATAGGCATTTTGCCCAAAAAGTCTGTGCCGAGGAGGTAAGGGACGGCAAGGGTGGATGAAACAAGAATAGGGCCGTTCAATTTGATATCGCCAATCCGAATTTGCGCGTCGATCCGTCCGACTATGCCCAACGAACCCCCGTTAGCGGCAAAACATGGAACATCAACAGGCTGCAAATAACGACAGGTTTCGGGCAGTATGTTAAAGATGAGGTCAGAGATGATGGTCGCCGACGCACCGGTGTTGACCAACATCTGGACCTCGATCCCCTCTATGAAGCCAATTATAGCAGAGGAACCTGCAGCCGCGGCGACCACCCTGTGGGCCAACTGGGACCACTGACCCGGTCCAAGCGCCTGATCGTTACCCCAAGTACCCGGCTCCCCACCGCCCAACGCATGGCCATCCCGAGGAAAGTGATGGTGTGCGTGTGTGGCACGTGGGGGCCGAGAGTATGAGGTGTCGCGACTTGCCTGAGCCTGCCGCGGAGTCGAGGGCGATCGCTGCTCCCGTGTCCGTGATCCGAGGTTGCCGCGATGGGGAGCCCAGCAGCTGGATGATACGTGGCCCCGCAGGCCGCATTTGTAGCAGGTGACGGATGACTCGGCAGAGTGTGGAGCCTTCCGTTCCTGGCGG